TGAAGGGATGCACTCTTGGCCTGGACACATGGAGGAGGGCCTAGGTCCGGCCAGGATGATGTGGTGGATTTTGGGGAGCCCTGTCAAGGGCCCAACCCTGCCTGGGGAGTGGAGGATGGATGGGGTGTGGGGCAGGTGTGTGGTTGTGGGGGAGGGTTGGGGGGAGGGGAGGGAGAAGGAATTGACATGTGAAGCAAGCTTGTTCCTAATTTGAACTAAAAAAATTAATTATAAAAAATTAAAAAATAATAATAAGGTATGTAAAGTGTAAAATGTTGAGAGACATTAAAAGATAATTTGATAATTCAAATTAGAATAGAAAGTAAATTAGGTACAAGACTTTGGCCTCACCAATATATGATAGATAATGGAGTATTTTCTCTGAATTTGTTAAATGCTAATGGACTAGACATTGTTGATATATTTATTGCTTGTATATATTGCATACAGTTGTTGTACTTATTGTATATAGTTTTTCTTATATTAGTTTTAACTTTTTTATTTTTAGACTAAAGGGAAATATGTGGTGAGATCTTATTTGTACAAATAAAGCATGTTTGAAAATCAGAGGTTGGAGCTTGCCACTATCTAACTATATTGGTCTGCAGGTCTGTACACACAGAGAGTACGTGAGATGTCTGGGCAGAGACAGGGATATGGGCAGGAGGAAAGAGGAACTTATTCTTTTCTGCTGGGAAGTTAGTAAGGTAAAGGTGACTTTTTGTTTCTTCTTCTCTCTGATGTCTCAGCATTTTCCCCTATATCTGATTTCAGGCTCTTGTTATTAAGACTTATTAGAACTCATGTTACAAATGGGGAAGAGGTTAGCAACAAATATCACAAAAGCAAGAGACATCAGTTTATAAAAAGAACTAATTGGATTCTTCCTCATATAATAAGAGAGATACCAATTTCTGGAACACCTACATTCTATACCGATGCAAATAAATTAGGAAGGGCATTTTATAAGGAAAAATAAGTAATGTGACTCAGTGCCCTTAGGATTCAGAGCTGTATGACATTTTCATGGTACTATTAAATTTTCCCAAATCTCTAGTTACTGATTCTCAATATGCAGAAATCATTGTTTTACATATTGAAACCATTAAACTCTTTCTGGATTGTTCAGAATTAACTTCACTATTTATTCAACTACAGCAAGTAATTGGAGAAATCATCCATTGTTTATAACACCTATCAGATCCCATAGGGGTCTACCAGGTGCATTAGAACAAGTTAATGACGAAATTGATCAGCTATTAATATGAAATGCACTAGAAACCCTCAAATTTCATAAGAAACACCATGTTAAATGTTTGAAGAAAAAGTTTTCTATCATTTGGTAACAAGCCAAGGAAATTATAAGACAATATCCTACTTGTTCTTTTTATAACCAAACTTCATTGCTTGCAGGAAGTAACCCAAAAGATACCCAAAGAAATGAAACTTGGCAAATGAATGTGTTTCATCTCACAGACTTTGGAAAATTTTTCGTGACCAATGCCATGGATGCATATTCAGAATTTCAGTGAGCAACTACATTTAAGTTCCAAAGATGCTGGTTCTGTAATTACACATTTATTAGAAGTTAGGCCTATTATGGGGACACCTGTACAAATTAATACTGACAAAACTGCAGCATGAGTCTCTAGTGAAAATATTTTTTGCATATTATAACATAAAGCATATTACAGGTATACCACAAAATCCTATAGGATAAGCAGGTATAGAAAGATCCAGTCATACTTTAAAAGATATGTTTAACAAGCAGAAAGGAATAATACATATTTCCCAAAGATAGATTATAGAGTGCTTAAATAACTTTAAGTTATTTTTTCTGTTAATGAAAAAGGAACAATGGCTGCAGAGACGCTGGATAGTAGAAAACCCTGCTGAATTAAATCAGTCTGTATATTTTAATGTTGTGTAGACCTCAGAATGGAAACAGAGATAGATATGTGTTAAATTGGGGAAGAGATTGTGCCTTTGTTTCCACATGAGAATAAAAGTGATGGATACCATCAAGATTGCTAAAGATTAGATTTGAACAAGAAAGACCTCCTAAAATAGGAGAGGTGATAGTTCATCAGATAGCTTGGCCATTCAAGAAAAACTAACTTATAACAAATGCCTTTCATTTGATCAGGCATGAACAAATAAAACCAAAAAGAATGTAGTGTTTTAATGATACTTTATCAAAGGCACACATTTGCCTTATGAGTATGGAATGAAAAGTAGGATTCTTAAACCATGTGTATGTCTTGATTCCATGTTATAATATTGAACTGTAAATTACCACATGGCCCATGCCATCTTAGATATCAGCTTTTGAAGTTTATTCTTAAATAAAAAGGATATTTTTGTTGTTTGGAATTTAAAACACAGTTAAGGGATTTAAAAAGTTTTAAATAAATTCAAAGGGTAACTATAGTTCAAACATGTTTTCTAAATCTCTAAAAGTTGGAGTAATTTGGAGCTAAGATAAAATATTGGTCAGGACAGTTGTAGCCCATGCCTTTCATCTCAGCAGAGACACTATAAATTAGTTTTTAAATCTAAATTATAGTTATAATGAACAAAGCTGTGGTGGCACATACCTTTAATCCCACCACCCAGGGAAAAAAACCTCAGATACAGCATCTAGCTGTTATGTTTATACATTATAGAAATCACATACCATATTTACAGAATATTATATAAACCCCACTATTTGGTTAATATAAAGGCAACTAAGAGCAGTTTTGTAACTCTGCCAGTACGCTGTTCTCTGTGTATGCAACCCTGAACAATATTGAACCAGTTGATACCCGAAAGATGGATAACATAGTTATTGGTAAATTGGCAATTGGGGACTCTTCATAAAGCAAGGAGTCCATTAACTTTGGCCTGTTGGCTTCTATTAAAAACACTTTTCATATATAGAGACTAAATATTATCTTTGAGAATGGAGAACCTTATACTCAGTCATTGCCAACCACTTTATGGTCATAAGAGCACCCTTATCATGATGGATTGGATCGGTTCAAAGGCAGAGTCCTTCACAGGCTTAGAAGGAAATATATTATATTGAAACTATCTGAATTTCTTCATGACTAGAATATGGGAGCAAATGGAGTATGTTCCTTCCTGCACTGAGGAAATTGCTCAAGTTGCCTACAGTCCCCATCCTTAAACAACTTACTTCCCCCCTAAAAGAGCCATATATTGAACTTTGGGACCAAAAGAATGGTCACATTTGGCTAAGGCATGGTTTACTGATAGTTCATCAACCACAAATGAAACCAAAACTAATGAAAGTGGCAAGCCTATAAACCAGGGATGGAATGGCCAAACTGAGGAAGGAACCATAAAATCAGTGCAGCACTATTGGCTACAAGACAAACAACTTGGAAAGCAAAAGGAAAATCTCTATATCCGCAATTCATGGTGTGTGTTCAATGGTATAGCTATATGGTCATCAAAATGGAAAACCACTAAGTGGCAGATAAATGGCAAAGTTATTCTGTCATGGGAGGCATAAATAGAAATGGTATAACCTAGCAAAATTTAGCAAGGATATCAAATTTTATGTAGCTCATACAGGAAAGATAGCCAAAACATCCAAAAATAATTAAATAGTGGATAAATTTGCATCATGTTTAATTAAGACTAGAATATTAAAATTTGCCAGGTAACAAATTCAGAATAAATCAGCCAGAATGGTAGATTACACATTGGAACAACTTGAAAATTTACCCCTAACATTAAACAATAAGGGAAAATGGGGAACCAAATTAAACTAGGACAACCCTATAAGAATAACTATTCTAGACAGGCGTTGGTGGCGCACTCATGCCTTTAATCCCAGCACTAGGGAGGCAGAGGCAGGCGGATCTCTGTGAGTTCGAGACCAGCCTGGTCTACAAGAGTTAGATCTAGGACAGCCTCTAAAGCCACAGAGAAACCCTGTCTGGAAAAACCAAAAAAAAAAAAAAGAATGAATAACTATTCTAAGGAATCCATAGCCAGGCAGTGGTTTACACCTTTAATCCTAGCACTTGGGAGGGAAAGGCAGGCATTTAAGAATTACAGTGATTAAAATTTAAAAGTGACAAAGGGCAGGCTAAAATTCAAAGTACATGTCCTTTGTGATTTTTAAAATAAATACACCACTTAAGTATTGAATTTATAGAGTAAGGGTGGTGTGGCTCAGGCCTAGCACACAGCTTTAATCCAAGAGCTTTCTGCTTGAATATTGTAAACAGGATTAAATAAAGTCAACCTTAGGTCAAGAAGCAGAGAAAGCAACCAGATGATAGGAAGTGAAGATAGCATTAAACCATACAGAGTAAGAAGGAATCAGAAGGATGGATAGACTCATAGGGAGGGACATTGAGGATGAGATTCTTTTGTTTGAGGTGACATAGAAAAAAATGTCTGTTTCTAGGACATCAGTGGAGGAGGATGGTCAGTCAGGTGTTTTCTCTGCCTCTCTGAGCTAGCAGGATTCTACCCCAACATTTGGCTCTTGAGTCTCTACTGGAAAAATTGGGCATTTGAGATTTAGTTAAAACAACACAGATCCAGATAATGATTTCCCTTTTGTTGTTATTTGTTTATTTACTATGCTGTAGCTTGAACTTATGTATTAACACAAGCTATGCAACAATCTGACCCTTCACAGATTTCTAACTTTCATATAATTTAGCCAGGCATCTGGATCCATCCTATTGACATAAAGTTATCTATGGATATCCAACAAATATTTATAACTAAAAAAATAGTATTTATGTAACAAATAAGGTTAAATTCACTTAAGCAGTGCCTATTTTCCATTTTGCCATCAGCTAGTAGTTGTAGGTTTCTTTGCATTAAATAATTGTTTCATGTAATATATATATACAGACTTATGCAGATAATGACTCTAGCATGCCTTGCTAGATAATCAAGGTATATCCCAGAACAGAATGTATAAGATTGTCTACCGTTCCAAGATGCTGGGAATTGTGTTTGTCACCTACCTTATATTGTAACTTGTCACTAGAAGATGGTCCTTCTGCTAAGATTTTGGAAGAGGGCATGTCAAGCTCAGCAACAGCTCTTTTAACATGTGTCTTGCTAGGCTCCATTGTCTGATTTCCAGTTGCTTCTATACTTTCAATATGTTCACCAGATGTGGGGTGACAGCATTTGCTTAGTGCTAAGAACTTTCTCAGGCTGCTTGTGCTCGTTGTTGTTTTGGGAGAAACAACTTGGGTTTCCGAAGGTTTCAGAACTTCTCCAACATGATCTCCAGATATTTCTCCTAAGCACTGATGTCCAGCAACCTCTCCTAAAACAATTTCCTCTTCATCAGAAACCATGTCCTCTCTGAAGCTACCTTCTAAATCATTTTTACTAATATCATGAGCTACTAACCGAACAATCAGATCTTTTTTGTTATGAATATCTTTCAAAAGCTCTACTCTGGTGATATCAGGCCTTCTTACATTTTGAAATGAGTTCCTGCCAACAGCCTAGAATTGAAAGTACAAAAAATATTAAAAATAAACATGTCAATATCTTTTCTGCTATTACTTTCTGCCATAGCTATTTTTTTTAATGATTTCTAACTCAATATAGCAAATAACTTCAAATTATACTTAGTGGTATATTTTCACTATTTTAAAAGAAAGAAATAGATAAAATACATAAGCAATACTTGTTTGTATCTAGAATTATTTTTATATTAAGATGATATTAAACTATCATAATTTAGTCACAATATTCAGTCTAACAGCATAGTTTAAGCTTTATGATTTATTATAAAATAACTTGTTGGTTTCTATTTTTTGCAATTTTTCTTAAAAATTGTTATAGAACTATGTAAAAGGTTTTTGTTCTTAAACAATCTTATAGAAATCTAGGCATTCATTTTCAAAGAAAAGGCAAGACTTTAAGGAACTCTACTTACAAAATCAATGACCCATTGAAATTATGACCATTAGATTATTTTTTTACGCTATAATCACATTCTTTGTATTTTGCAAAGCTAGGCAAACCTTCATTTCTTTTTTATATTCTACTCAAATAACAATTAATATTTTTAACATACAAGAATCCAAGAAAAGGTAATTATATTCAGTAACCAAATCACTCCATTTCTGTAGCCTTTCTTATATCACAGAAGTTATAAATTAATTTATAATTAATCTTCAACTCAACCTTCATTTGCAAGTTTCCAAACCATGTTTTCAAGTGACAATGTCTTAAAAAGATATCTTCTAGGACTGGAGAGATGGCTCAGTGGTTAAGAGCACTGACTGTTCTTCCATATGTCCTGAGTTCAATTCCCAGTAACCACATGGTGGCTCACAACCACCTTGAACAAGATCTGGTGCCCTCTGTTGGCATTCGGGCAGAAGACTGTATACATAATACATAAATAAAATCTTTAAAAAAAAAAAAAAGAAGAAGAAGATATCTTCTGTGGAAATAATGTATTTTGCAGCCACTCTTGAAAAATACAAAACAATCAACTTTATCTATTATATGTAAAAAAATAAGGTTAGAAATTTAAAATATATGCAATACAATTTGGGGATTTGTTACTTCAGACTGTTTAAGTATGTTGTATTATGTGAAAAGTATGGTATCTCTAGCAGAATATTAAGCCATCAGATAAAGCCAAGTACCTAAAGTACCTGACCCACAGGATTTTTTTTTCTGTCTCTGTTGACAAAAGACATGGTCATAATTTGATTGGCATGTAAGATTTCTGTGCTTTGAATTCTACATGGCTGCTGGTTGTTTATTGTTATTGTTGTTATTACTACTACTATTGTTATTGTCAAATGGATTTTTCTCCATTTAAAATGGTAGATGTTTTTAAAAACTTACTGTGCTATGAATAAAAGTAGTAACCAGGAAAAATTGTTATAGATTGTCCTATAGATAATTAAACATTATTTTAGTATTATTATTAAAGGATGCTCATAGAAATTTTACTCTCAAGGAATTGCTTATGTATAATGAATACTACACAAAATATATGCTAATGTAACAATGGGAACTCAAAGGAGAAGAAATTTTAATACTGTAAAGGACCATCATATGTTCTTTAGAAAAGAACAAAACAGACTAGAGGAATGTAAGTTCACAATAATTTTAATTATCTTAGTATGAAAACATAAATATCTGCAATTCTAGCACCAACAGGCAGAGGAATGATTCTAAGAGGGAGATAGAGAGAGCCCAGGGTAACTTTTTCTGGGGATACATGAACAAATATCTGTTCATTTCAGACAGAACTCAAGGATAGACTGAAAAACAAAGAACAACAAAAAAAAAAAACAATTTTATCCAACTCTAGCTTACTAGTATTTTTGAAACCAGTGAGTTTATTGGGGTTACTTAAAGGAATATGGATGAAAGATTAAGTAGGGAAGGGTAGATGACTCAAAGATAGCTTTATCAGTAAAAATTCCAACCCAGCATGAATGATGTCTCACTAAAATTGCATCCATTGAGCACTCTGTATAATTTCCAGGCAGCTTTCCACTTTCTAGTAGTTATTACTGCTAAAATGACCTTTAGGAAAATTTTGGGAATCTTATGTGCCTTAGGAACTTCCTGAGACTTGTAAGTTGTATTTATTGAGTTTTAGTAGGCCCCTGTCTAAAACAGAATGTTTTATTTTGGGAGAAACAGCTAAGTATTACCAGCCTTTGTAATGAGTTCCAGCTTGGCCAGGGCTAAACAATGACCTGGTCAGTAACTCAACAATCAATCAATCAATCAATCAATCACCAGCCTTAAGACTTAATTCAGTAATTTTCAGAACCATTCTGGGAAAAAAATTGAAATATTTATTCTCCAGAGAACATAGTTTTATACTTGTGTCAAGGCCATGGCACAAAGTATAAACCATAAAAACAAAAATCTGTCCAAAATGCACACAGTCAATGTGAAGAATTCAAAAGAATCCCCATGCTAGGAATGTGTTCCATTTTATTGATCTGCTGAGCAAAGGAATCCTATAGAACCCCTCTAGCATTACAGGCTATCGATAAATTACCCCCTCTGTTACTTGACAGTAAAATGTTACTGCTCTATACGTCACATGCTTATGTCTTCAAACACAGTGAAATAGACCTGGTGTCTAACTAGAAGCTTCACCCCTAGTGACTAGCTTTCCTGATACAGAAAGACAATTTGAATGCTACTGGGGGAGAAAAGTAGCTGTTAATATCATCCAGCTACAAATCATGAAGCATGCAACAGTGACCTGACTGTAAGACATACTGTTGTAGTAGTGGCACAACCATTATGGCAGTAATTAATCAATTTTGACTGGATATAAACTCAGTCAAATGAGATAGAACCCATATCTGACACTGCTCAAGTGACTAATGATCTGAGATTACAGAGATCATTGGTCTAGGGGAAATCCAGTTACCATTACTCTGATAAAAGAATACAACAATTCAATAATTTCTCATGACATATTGATCATCAGTGCCTCACTCATCAGAGGATAATCCTCTTGGTAATTAACATAGAGATCCACAACTAGAAAATGTGCAGAAACTAAGAGACTTTGTAGCACTCAGCCTTAAAAGTGATGTCTTTAGCAAACCTCTACCCTTAAGGCTCAGGTATCTAAGAAGAAGAGGAGATGAAAAGACTGTTAAGGGTCACAGGTGGTAGATGGTTGCAAGAAAATGGTATCTTTTAGATATAACCCAGCATGTCTGTTAGACATATGAATTCACTGAGAGTGTGACAGCATGCACAAGTTCAAATCAAACAAAATCCCAACTGTGAGAAGAGGAAGTGGATACATAGTATCACTCCTGAACAAGAAGTTATTTGCAATTGATAGGGAAAGGGAAAATCTGTTTTCTCTAAAAGAATGTATGTCACTCATACCCCAGGGCAGGCCTCATGCCTAGGCGTAATTGGCCTAATTACTGAACTCTAGGTACTTTTGCATGTTTTTGTTTGTTTGTTTTTTAGTATGTTTTGTTTTATGATTTCCTTTCTGTTTCTTTTGGGGGGGGTTGTTTTCTTTTTTGAGAAAGAAAGAAAGGGAGAAAAAAAGAAAGGGAGAAAGAAAGAAAGGAAGAAAGAAAGAAAGGGAGAAAGAAAGGAAGGAAGGAAGGAAGGAAGGAAGGAAGGAAGGAAAGAAGGAAGAGTATAAAGTAGAGTGAGTAAGGAGGTCAAATTGATACAAGAGCACTTGGGGCAGGAATATGAATAAAATACACAACATGAAAAATTTTTAATAAAAATAATAAAAGAAAAATAGTACTGCACTGCCGTAAGTAGATGACTTTTAATACATGTTCTTAAAAATTTCTAAATAAAATTACATTCCAGTCATTCTAGTTTTAATAAGACTCCGTACTTACATTTCCCTGCTTCAAAGAAAAATAGTTTTAGTGGATTGTCTTATAAAAACTAGCCTTAGGCCTCTAGTGTGAAATATGGAAATGATATGGCAAGTCCTTGAAAATCCTGACAGTAGAGAACTGTTGTAACCAATTCCCTCTTCATCTGGCAAAATAACAAGCATATCTTTCTATGTATCGAGAAAGGAAGGAAATCATTGAACTGGCTTACTGTTGGCCGATTTTCTCCATTGCTGCGAAACTTACCTCTAAGGGTTTCACATCTAGTCGTCCCGTCCTATCCAATGAGATGCGTCTTTCTTTCTGTCTCGTTCCCATTTCACACACCTCTGTGGAAGAGTGACCTTTTCCACTTATGGAAGCTCTTCTCAGCTCCGCTATACTATATCCAGTTCTCTTTAAACAGTCCATCTTAAGTGTTTCCAGAGGCTGAGTCTTCATAGAAATAACTGCTAAGTGTTCTGCGATGATATTTGGATCTATTTTCAATGGTTTATTCCCGATATGTGGAATTATTCTAACCGGAAGTTCATCTTCTACTACATCATCCAACTCTTTGTCGGAGTCAGAGTTCATTCGTGCAGCATGCTTTTGTGCCTTTTCAATGATTCGATTTGTGTCTAGATCTCCAAAGACACCAGCATCAGAACTCTTTGTGATAACTCTACATGATGGAACATTTGAAACTCCATTGACAATTAAGCTAGCCACTTTCTTAGGGAATAATTTCTTTGTACCTTTCATATCATAGAGTTCATTATCGTCTCCAGACTGTTTTATTATATTACTATAAACAGAATCAATAACCTGAGAAATTTTTTCAATGTTTTCTGGATCTAAAGGTTGTTCTTCAGGATCAGAATCCACAAGACTTATGTTACTTCTGGAAATTTCAGCTGTTACAGATTTTGTTAACTGAGATGCAATTTTATTTAACTCAGGCTTTGTTAAATTGTCTGTGTCTTTGCTCTCAGGACCAGGCTTCTTTACTAGTTTAGCCAAAAACAAGGCCAAAGCTTCCTCCAAAACTCTGGAGTCTAATATCAAATCTTTTATGGATGAAGATTTTTCTTTTGATTTAAGTTCATCAATAATTTTCACCACCTTTTCCATAATTTTGACAGCTTCTAGAGCTATTTCAGAACTTGAAAGTTCTTCTTCTGCTTGAGCTTGAAATTCTGAATTGGAAATCTCCTTTACCATTAACGAACCTATTATGTCAGGAAGGACATTGTTCTTACCCATTAAATCTTCAAATACAGACGCAGGAGAGCCTGAGTGTTTTAAAAGATTGGCATAAACAGAATTGGCTACTTTTTCAATAGTTGCATCATCAGCTAAAGGCTCGGGTTCCAATTCCTTGGCAGGTTTTACAACTTTGATCTTACTTTTTGACATACATTCTTGGATTGACTTTAATATTTTTGAGCTTATTTTTTGCATTTCAGTTTCCGGAGATTTAGTTTTTACTGTATGCACTGTTGGAAACACGGATAAAAGCTTTGATAAGAACTTTACAGAAATTGCTTCTATTACGTGATAAGATAGTTTACGAGGATGTGGTGGCTGTGGTGAAGTAGTTAAGGCAACATTAGTGAGGATATTTTCAACAACATTGTCAACTTCTGCACACTGATATGGAGTCAACTCACCACCAAAATAGTTCTGTAACTGATTGCCAGCCACTTCTCTTAGAACTAAATCCACTATTGTTTTTGAAAGTAGTCTGCATCCACTAGCTATACAATTTTGTATGGTTTCCTGTGTTCCAAACTGTGGCAAAAGATTATTATAAATGGTCTGAACCACCAGTTGAATAATTTCATCATCATTTGGATGCAAGGATTCTACATACTGTATAATCATATCCTCATTTTTGGCAATCTCTGCTGCAACTGTATTTACTAACTTCATTTGAAGGAAGTCAAGTTGTGTCAAAGGAGTTTGTTGAGATATTTTCGTTTTGACATTAGATAGTTTTGAAAATACTTTTGCCAAAAGAGCAGAAATAACATCATCTAAAAATTTGAAAGGCAACTTTATAGTATATGGAGATGAAGTTTGACATTCTTTACTGGCTGTTTCCACAGCCTTTTGGACCTTTTTCTCAACATCTTTTGATTCCAGAGGCACACATGCTGAAGCTGGTATCTCATCAGAAAACATCAAGTTAAGCTGATGTTGAAAAATTTCACTTATCACTGTGCTAGTTAGCCTTTTTGCTAGATTTTCCCCATTACTGTTGATATTCTTGCAAACAGACTCTTGAGATGTACATTCCTTTAAAACATTGCAAACACAAGAGTGAACAATTTTATTGACAACTGATTTTTCAATTGATGGCATTCTATGGAGGGAGGGGATCTTGTGGAAAGAGGGTTGTTCAGTGGCTTTTTGTGTAGGTGGCAATTTATCCACATTTTCAATAGTCATGCTGGATGCTGGTTCACCTGTAACTGCTTCTTTCAACACAGGAGGTACTGTATGAACCTCTGATTCTTTGGTTGCTTTCAACACAGGAGGTACTCTATGAATTTCTGATAATTTGGTTGCTTTCAACACAGGAAGTACTGGATGAACTTCTGATAATTTGGTTGCTTTCAACACAGGAAGTACTGGATGAACTTCTGATAATTTGGTTGCTTTCAACACAGGAAGTACTGGATGAACTTCTGATAATTTGGTTGCTTTCAACACAGGAAGTACTGGATGAACTTCTGATAATTTGGTTGCTTTCAACACAGGAAGTACTGGATGAACTTCTGATTCTTTGGTCACTTTTAACACAGGAGGTACTGGATGAACTTCAGATTCTTTGGTCGCTTTCAACACAGGAAGTACTGGATGAACTTCTGATTCTTTGGTCACTTTTAACACAGGAGGTACTGGATGAACTTCTGATTCTTTGGTCGCTTTCAACACAGGAGGTACTGGATGAACTTCTGAATCTTTGGTCGCTTTCAACACAGGAGGTACTGGATGAACTTCAGATTCTTTGGTCGCTTTCAACACAGGAAGTACTGGATGAACTTCTGATTCTTTGGTCACTTTTAACACAGGAGGTACTGGATGATGAACTACTGATTCTTTGGTCACTTTCAACACAGGAGGTACTGGATGAACTTCTGAATCTTTGGTCGCTTTCAACACAGGAGGTACTGGATGAACTTCTGATTCTTTGGTCGCTTTTGTGAAAATCTCATTTCCTTTCTCTGGCCTAAATACCTTAACTTCTGCATCTGAAAATTGCTTCAACATTGAGTCAATGAGTTTCATAGCTGTGTCATAAAGTTCATCTTGGTTTTGGTCCTCACTTGCCTTTGGAGTACTATCATACTTTTTGGGTTCTGGTGAAGGTGTAAATATTAGTTTATTCACCAATTCAGTGAGCACGTCTTCTAGAAACATAGCAGGAATAATTGTAGGTTTACTTTCTGATGAGGATTGCGGATGGTCTGGCTTACTAGGAAGACTTTTAATGTCTTTCTCTTTTTTGATCTCACTCTTCTCTTTTCTTTTAGTTTCAGTTTCTTCAATTACTTTCTCTTTAGCAGTGGTGTCTGTGTTAACTGATGGGGATAAACCCTTTGTTGGAACAGGCTGTGCAGAATCTTGACCTATAACCAAAGGTTTATCACTTGGGACACCTTTGCTGTATGTTGGTTTGAAAAAATCCAATTGCTCTTGAGAAGATATTAAAATATTGTCATAAATATTTTCAATGACATTTTCAACACGTTCAGTTTCTGAGTAGGGTTCTTCATATCTATCTGTTTCACTTACAGATTGTGTCCTCTCTTCTGTAACAGGCTGTTGGGCTATTTTTACAGTTTTTTCTTTTATGCTCTCTTTACGCTTACTCTTGGGCTTTTCATCTGTTTTCACTATGCTTTTACTGGCATTGTCCATTTTACTTTCATTGTCTATTACCAAATCTGATACAAGTTCCTCCTTCTCAGAACTGTTTTCAACAGTAGCTACTGCAAAATGGGTGTATATTTCAATCATCTGCCCCTGCTCATTGATTAGAACTAAGTTCTCTTTCTCAGTTTCATTACTTTTACATTTGTCACTCAAATGTTGAACTTGAGTACCTTTACTTTTCACACTGATAGTTGGAGACATAACTTTTGAGGCATTCTCATATTTTTGAGGGGCAGATTTCAATTTATTTTCATCATCTTTCTTTGTATCTGTGATGCCTGTAGTTGATCCTGACATCAGGTTGATGATATTGCTTTTCATCAGGGTAGCTATAGAGTTAAGTATTGGACATTGGACATCATCTTTTTTCATTGATGTGTCTTTAGATAGAGCAAGCTGGCTCTGTTTTAAGCATCGACTAATCTGCATGGAGGTTTTCTGTGGTAGAAGTTGAACCCTTTGGGTGATATTTTCTGGATCTAGAAATGAAAAGAAAGTTGAACACCAGTCTCCTGAAAATAGTGGTTGAATCTTGAATGACGAAATTGCCTTCTGGGCTAAAGAAGAAACCATTTCTATAACAATGTTACCAGTGTTATCTTTCTGAATACTATCAGATCCAAATTTCCCTATGAACTGATCATATACAGAATTAGATATCTCATTAACTGTCTCCTTCCCAATTGGTGGGAAAGAAAATATTTCTTCAGCATGTGGTAAAACTTTGATTTCACTTTTCCTAAATTCCTGTACGAGAGAGTTTGCAAAGTTTAGAGCTAAGCTTTCAACTTCTGGCTCTGGCATATCTTTTTTCCTAGAATCTTCAGTAAGAGTTGCAAAAGAAGAAAATTTGTGAGCAAGGTCAACAATTACATCTTCTAAAAATGCAGCTGAAAATAGAGAAGGTTGTGACTTTTCTTTCCCAGACTTAGCAAGAACAGAAGCACGGCCATAATCAGGTAAGTTACCAGAAGGTGAGTCTTCACCATATAAAAATGGCCGCAAATGGTGATTCATGATTTCTTTCATAATGAAACCAGCCATTTTACTGAGAAATGAACTTCCCTTTTTGTGTGCATCTTTCTGTACTTCTGCTTGGAATTCAGAGTTTTTCAAAATATTATTACATACAGAATCGATGAAATTCTCAGTGGTTCCCTGTTGCACACTCTCTACATTCTCCTCTTCAGCAGCAAATCTGATCTCATGCTCAGAAATTTCTTTTATAATTTCATCAGTCAGTTTTGAAGCTGCAGCCATGAACTCGTCATCATCATCTGGCCCAACCTCTTTCTCCTTTAGTTTACTTGTAGTGTCATCTGTAGGGAAGATATTTACTAAAAGCTTGTAAATCATATTTTCTATTAGAGAGCAAGGGAGCACTGTAATGCATGATGGCAAGGCATTGGTATCCTTCAAGATAACGTTGAGCACATTTTTGATGATATTTTCAGCTCGAGGGAAAGAATAGGAAGAAGGCATTAGTTCACCTGAAACTAACGACTGCACCTGATAATCATAAATTTCTTCCAGTAGAAAATGATATATTTTTCCTCCAAAACAAGTAGTGTCATTTTGTACTGCCCTGTGTAGCTGCATCAGTGATTTATATTGATCTAATATATTTTCATAAACTGAGTTGACTGTTTTTTGAACCATTTCTTTATATGTCTCTGAAAACCATAGACTCTCATCCAAATTTTCTGCAAGTAAAATTTCAGATGTAGTGAACTCTAAAACAATTGATTTTACTAATGCTGTAACGATATCCATTATTTTGGCTATTGCTTTCTCTGGGGTTTCATCAGCCAAGGAATTCTGTAGGAATGTCTGAAGAATTCTGCATAAAAGATCAGAAATCACTTCCTCCAAAAAGACAGCTGAGTTCATAATGAAAGACAATTCTCTTTGCTTAGGGTTTGTTGCTTTCTTCTTGCAAGGTTGAACAAATGACGCTGACAATTCTCTTTGCTTAGGGTTTGTTGCTTTTTTCTTGCAAGGTTGAGCAACTGAAGCTGAAAGAAAACTTTTATCTCCTGATAAGAATGACTCTAGATGGTGATTAAAGATCTCTTTTATTATAAAACTTGCTATTTTTGAAACAGGTATGCTACTTACACCTTTTTTATCCTTTGTAAGAGACTGGTATAGATTTGAATGAGAAAGATCAGCATAAATAGAGTCAACCATTGACTGCATGTCTTTTTCTGAAATCATACTTTGTTTTTCATTTCCATGTTTTACAATACATATTGCATGTTTTGAAATTATTGACATGATTTCATTTATCAGTTTCATAACTGTGTTACTTAAGTCTGATTGAGAAGTATCAGAATGTTCTCCACTGGAATGTGATGGACTTATCTGAGATATAAGCTGAGTCACTATTTTTTCTAAGTGAATATGTGAGAGCATAGTAGTATATATTGTTGATGCTTGTCTTCGGAATCTTGATTTACTAATATCATAATGGACTCTATTTACCAAAGCATTTTGACTAAGTTTTGAATGTAAACTTAAAGGCAGATTTTCTATAAGATCTGGTGGAATCTGGAAATCAAAAATTTCAGTCAGAATGATTTTGGTTATCTGGCCAGCCAAAGCCTTTGTGTCATCTAGAAAATCTTTATCAGGCATCATTTCCATTTCATATTCTTCTAAAACCTTGCCGTACACAGTGCCAATCATGTTTTTGAGTACATCTTTCTCTACTGGGGGAAAACACAACCGTTCCTCAGCATTTTCTATAGTTGTAACCTGGGCTTTTGAAAATTCCTCTGTTATCCAATATATGAGACTTTCAGCTTTATCAAACAGAACATCTTCTGAATTTCTTGTTGACTCCACTTGGACAATGCCAACCACTCTGTGAAATATTTTGCTTACTACTCCAGAGACCACATCTTCCAAAAAAGTTGAAGAATAAGCACTAGCGTAAATGAAATTCTGTGTGTCATCAAAACATTCACATGTTGAAGAAGCTAATTGCCTTTTTTCCACAAATGGCTGAAGATGGTGTTCACATACATATTTAATAATGAAACCTGCAATTTTGTCAATTAAAACATCATTACTTTTTGTGATATTTTCTTCCACTGATTCTTGAGAATCAGAGTTTTCTAAAATATTTGTGAAAACAGAATCAACAAGATGGCGAACATCATCTTCTGAGTAACAGGACTTGGCTTTATCTTCATCTTTTGAAAATCTAATTTCATGTTGGGAAATTTTTCTCCTAATGTCACTGATAAGATTGGAAGCAATTTCATTAAAATTTACTCCCTTATCCTTTAGAGCTGTATTTGAAGCCACTTTGGGAAGAGGGAAAAATTTAGATAATAGTACTCTGATCATATCTTCTAAAAATGTATATGGTAGCAATGTATTATATGGAGGTAAATATTGGTTTGGCTTACTAGAATTATTGACGTCATCAAGAACATTAAAAACAATATTGTCAGCCATTGAATTAGAACAGGAAGCAGCTGACAAATCACCAGAAAACAGTGGGTGAAGAAGGTAGTCTGAAATAGCTGCTATGATTAATTTGGCAATATTTTCCACAAAAGCATCACTATTTTCAGATTCTTCAATGTCAGGATCTAGCCCATGCTGCTTCAAAACATTTCTATATACTGAGGTGACAAGTTCATCTACAATATCTGCATCACCAAATGGAAAGGATGATTGTTTATCGCATAGAATAGGAATTTTAGCTCTATTTAAACGGTTGTTCACTGAGTTTACTATTTTTTGGGTCATATTTTCCAGCTCAGCATTAGTATTAGGCTTCGGGCTAAAAATCTTTGATAAAACTCTGGTAACAATTTCCCCTACAAATTTATCAGGGTAAATGTCAAGAGGTGATGGCTTCTGGAGTTTGTGAGACTCTACAACTTCACTGAGAACTTGTTTGACCATATAAGATACCTCATCAAGTGGAGTTTTGGGGCGAGGTAAAATCTCTCCACACAAAAATGGTCGAAGATGGTTTTCAATAATCTCTTGGATAATGAAACTGGCTATTTGGTCAATCATAATTGGACTTCTACTAATTATATTCTTCTGTATTAAATCAAGAGAATCAGACATTTGTAAAATATTACTATAAACAGAATCTACCATCTTTTGGAGGTTTTTATCTGTGTGGAGACATTGATTATCATAGATGGTGAACCAGATTTTATGTTTTGAAATGGCTGACATAACTTTATTTGTTATAGAGTTGGTCATTTCATTAAAATTTGAACACATTAAACACTGTTTTTCTAAAGATGAAGGCTTAACAGGCAGGGGAATAAGCTGAGCCAAAAGTCTTCTGATGACATATTCTAAAAATGAGTGTGGTAACATGGTGCTATAATCTTTCGAAGACATGGGTTCAGAGATAAATTTTCTTAGATTATTTTGAAGTTTATGCAGTATGATTTCAGCATTGAGAGTATGATATAAATTTGATTTGAGCTTTCCCTTGAAGCAAGATGGAAGCTGATAGTCTACAATCTCTAAGAATATGCTATTAGACATTTGTTCAGCTACTGAAGTGTCATCATATGGCAGATTATCCCCACAGGTTACTTTAAATTCATATTGCTGTAAAACATCATAATAAATGGAATCAACAATCTTAGTAACACATCCTTTATGTGCTGATGGAAAATAGAGCCTTTCTTCAGGATACCTTAGAACAGTGATTTGAGCATTATTTAACTCATTCACTACATTGTTGATAAGTGATGTATTTATCTCATTGAGCCATGTTTCAGTGATGCTTATATTTTTCCTCCACAATGAGGTAGTCAGCTTAAAAAATAATTGTGAGATTATGTCCTCCAAAAACGTGGCTGAATAAACACCACCATTTGCTCCTCTTTGACATAGCTTACGAAAGGCTATTGTGTTCATTCCCCTTGTTTCTTCTCTATCAGGAAGTGACAAAGAGAAAGGCTTTACTGCCCTTTGTTTGCCAAATGGTGTTTGCATTTTAAAGCCAGCTGCATTGGGATTATTCAAGGACCTGTTCAAAAAGTTACTGTCATAGCTCATGAAACTTACGTGGGCATTCTTTTCTCCCAATTCTATTAATTCTTGCCTTTTTGCTTTTGGGAAAAAGGGCTGAATTTCTCTTGTTGCATAGCTCATGCATTTGTTTTCAAAAGGAGCTTGTTGAAAACCATGTGATAGCTTATCCATCAAAGATTTAACCAAGCTGTGGGATATAACATTAAGTACACAATCTGATGATAATAAATCTTGATCCACGTCTGCCAGATTTTCCAAAAGGTCTGCCATGTAATCTCCTTGAAATTGTTCACAGTCCATTGGTGCCTCAAGGTAATCGAAATCTCTACCTTGAACACTTCCAAGTAATTTTCCATGTTGACATTCTTCTGCTACTTCACGGAAAATAGAACTATCCTCAAGAAATGTAGCGCCTGTGCATTTTTCTAGAAGTGTTCTAATAAGTTTCTCACACACAATATTGAGAAGAAAAATTGATTTAGGGGAAAGTCCTAGATTATTTGTAAGGATTCTATTACTTTGTTGATTATTTGAGGTCAAAAATGTTCTTGCTAGTTTACCAGAACTCATATCCCCATCTGGGAATTCATCTGGTAAAAATAAATCTAAAACAATATTAAAGACTTCATTGACAACTTCTTTGGATTCATGAGATTTTAGGTTACCAACCAGACTGTTTAACCTACATGCCAGATAATTTAATTTATTTCTTTGAGCATGGTGATCAATTAGGTGAGGAGATGATTCCCAGTCTCTGGGGCCTGTCTGAGTTTCCATGGTATTGATTTTGTTGAAAATAGGCATACTGTTTCTAAATATAGGATATGTTTTGTTTCTTACATTATTTTCAAAGTGATGATTTATTCCTAGTACTTTGGACAATACAAAAATCACTCCTTTTAAGAGATCTTGAAAGATATCATCAATATCGGAGGAAGTCACTCGTGGACAGAACCTGTACTTGGTTTTTATGGAAGCCTGGTGTGCCATGTCAGCACTTATAATGTTTCCATTAGAAAGAATTTCAATGATAACTTCAAAAATACTTAAAGCAAGTTCTCCAATGGAAATAGACCTGCTCTGATACACTTGAGAATGAATTGAGATATTTTTGTTAGAAATTACATCTTGGATTTTCCATGCATTGTCTCTGTTACCCTCTTCGGTGTCATCTGAAAAGTTTGAAATTAAGTAGCAGATGACAGATTCAGAGAGATGTTCACAAAACTGATATATTGAGGAATTACTGTATATGCGTTTTAGAGGCTGATTTGAATCATAATTTTTCTTTGGAAGTGAAGAAACATGAGACAACTTCCCATCAGTTGAAACTAAAATAATGTAAGAAAGAAACAAAAACATCTTTAGAATGGATTAGAGGAAATTTGGAAAATTAAATATATTGGCAATATATTTTGTCTGTAAAATAAAAGGTAAAACATAATGACAAAAGAAATAGGATTTTCCTAAATACTTCACAATTGTAAAGTCTTACTCTTAGCCATTATGTTGAGAAAACGTGTCTTCCATATTCAAATCTCTAAGACATGAGTAGATTTCTGTCTTGGCTCCATAATTATGGACACTAAGAGACCAGATTTTCAGATCTGGTGTAATATCCTGCTATAGCTCCAGTGACGGGATTATTTAAAAGTATATTAAGTGACAATATTTGATGCTATGCTGCTTTTTACTTGGAAGTTTAAAGATTTGTGTTACTCTATCATCTTGAAAAAAAAAAAAAAAACACAACTGTATCAACTCCAGAATGGTTAATGAGAGAATGCAGCAGCAGAGGCATGCATAAATACTTTGCAAACTTTTTAATTCACAGTGCATGCTCAACCAAAGTTTCCTACTTTGTTTTTCATTTTCCCCTTATCTGCAAGCCTAAAGGGGAAACAGAAGCCCACATCTTTTATATTTAATACATAAACAGTTAACTTAGTAACATTTTTAGGTACTATGGAAGTTTAAAAATAGTCATTCCAAATTTTTGAAGCTATTTTCAAATAAAACAAAATGTAGGCTCTTGGACAAGAGATCTTTTTTAATTTAAATTCTTTAATTATTACTCATATTTACATATTCATACCCCCATTCCCTCGCCCTCCCATCCTCCCATGTTCTCCCCTAACCCCTCCAACCCATCCCCCAATTCCTCCCCAGGGATAGTGAGACCCTCCACCAGGGACCTTCAAAGTCTGTCACATCATTTGGGGGAGTGCTTAGATCTTCCTTGATGTATCTGGGCTGCAATAGTACCCCTCCATAGGGAATGGGCTCCCAAAGTCCATTTGTGCTCTAGGGATAAACATTCCCTACCCTTGGACTGTCTTGTCCTCCTAGCTGGCATCCACATTCAGAGGGCTTGGTTCAGTCCAATGCTGTTTCCCCAGCTTTATAACTACAGCCATGCCACTCTGAAAGCACCTGATCTCATCTGACAAGAGATCTTTTAAATATAACTTTTACTGTTTTCCCAAAATTATTCCAACTTAAAAAATCTAACTTATCTCTTGCTTACCTGCATCTTTGAAGTGCTTCAAGTATGTGATCACAGATGTAGTAACATGTCTTGCCACCAAATGCATTTCATTTGGACCCAGTTCATGATCAACGAAAGTGATCTTGTCCGTTTCCTCCAAAGTCTCTGATGTCAGTTTGGAGTTTTTATTTTCCCATTTGTGTAATAAAGAAAAATCCCCTTGGCAGGCTTCAAGTCCTTCGCTTTCTTCCTCATTCATACAGTCCATTCGTTTATACCACATTTTAAGCAAATTGTTCTCATTCTTTTGTCCTTCACATACTGAAGACAAAGAATTTTGACTAGACATGAGAAATGGTTTCACAGTCTCCAGGCTTTCATCTGGGTGTGGCTGCTGGGGAAAGCCATAGCTTGACAGTACTGTGTTAACAATATTATCTGCAGCTAAACATATTTTGAGTGGGGAAGCAGTTGTCTTAATTTCATTTGGCTCAGTTGGTTTGGTGGTCTCATAATGAAAAACCCTTGGATTTTCACCTTTCCCCATTTCTATAAATGACATGGCTTGTTTTAGAGATTCTTCTGTGGAATCATTTGCTTTCTTAAATAATTTTTGTAACACACTGCCTTCAGGAAGAGAATTGTTACTACTGGTGGATCCCTCAAAAAGTCCAAAGTTTGGGTTCGTTTGGCTCTGGTCTTGTGCTTTGTTTCTAGAACATAATGGCACAGCATTTGAATTGTAACTTCCTGTTGGGTCCGAGCTTTTTATTTTGTTTTCGACACAGGAACTGACGTGTGAGGATGAACTGGACGTGATCTCATACTTTTGTTTTGTATCATCCTCTGAATTAAGCCCCAAGCCAGATACACTCCTCTGTGGAGAGTTACTCCTCATACTAGTGTTTCTCATCTTTGATGCAGGCATTTTCATATGAGACGCAAATTCAACCTGGTTAACAATGTAAACATTCTCAGTTCCTTCAAACCAATTTTTGTTGTGAAGGTTTGTGATCAAAGACTCATTGAAATTAGTACACTGGTCTATCAGTGTACCAATGATTTCACTGGCAGCAATATTCTCTTTCAGTGTGCTAACTGGAAATGGTTCCATTTGGCTTATTTCTTTGTCTAGCTTATTCTTAATTATACTAAGCATGTCACTGACGGTAGTGACAGAATACGTAAGTAATTCTGAATGGAATGAATGAACCTGTAGGAGTGTGTTATGTACGTTTTCTTTGGATATAATAGTACTTGACTTGGGTTCCTCTCCAAACTTTCTAAATGGTTGTAACTTTGGCAACATCTTTTTGCTTAATTGTCTCTGTTGCACTTGAAAGAGATTGTCTATAGGCATTTTAACTATTTCAGAAAACTCATATTTAGAGATATGCTTAAACTTCAAGTCCACAAATGACTCTAACATGTTTAAGACTCTTTCTACAATCTCTTGCACAATTTGGTTGCTAGGGCTTATAGATACTTGGTCTTTCATCTTCTTATTACAGGTCTGCACACCACTGAGGATGTGCTTGTTTGGAACACCATGCTTACTTTTAGCAGCAACATGTTCTTTCCTACTTGTTAGAATTCCCTTACTATCTTGAGTGGGCATCTGAGACAAGAAGCACAGCTGTAATTTTTCAAATAACATTTCGACAATTTCACGTCCAAACATATTTATCTGTGCTTTTGTATCCTCAGCTCTAGTAGCTCCACATTTAAAGCGATCATAGAATCTGTTTTCACAATCTTCAAGAGGTGGTAAATTTAAAAGTGAAAGTGAATACTCCAAATCTTTTGCTTTAATTGAAATTTCAGTCAAAATGTTTTCAGCTATGGTTAAAAGTTTAGACTTTTCATTTTCTGTATCACTTGTTTCTGTTTGCCATTTGTCAAACATTTTTTTAAATATACCTTCCTTAGGAAAAATCTGCTCTAGCTGTGAGGAAACATTCTCTAAATAAAAACATGCCTGCTGCTCAGTAGGGGAGCCTGCACCCAGATTCTGCTTTGATAGGCGATGATCACCCAGATTTGAGACATTAATTGGAGAAGCCATATTGTGATTGTTTGTAGCATACAATTCTTGCAATACCGCATTGACAATTTTGCTTGCTTCAAGGATTTGACCAGATGGTAACGTTTTTGTATTTAACACGGTCCTATTTTGTACCACTTTCTCAAGTTCTTTCATAATTATTTCTAAAATATCAGTTATTATATTCTTTGCATAAACTCTTAATTCTGAAGTTGGTAGTTTTGTTTTCAGCACGACTTTGGCATCCTCTGTTGATGGAGTTTGTGGTAGTCCAATGGCGGTTTGGGATCGGTTCTCTCTTGGAGTCTTCTCTACAGCACCTAACTTGGTCTTGCTTTTGGACTTAGTACCACTAATGCCTAGATGTGGTTTTGTTTTAAATTTAGAGAGAGAGGTAACTTTTGACCTTGCTTTTAAACTTGTTTTACATCCTGGCCTAGGGCTGTTCTTAGGGCTAAGTTTAGAATTATGTAGCCTAAGAAGGTACATGTCATCATAACTACCTTCAAAGGGAAATCTCTCTTCTAGATGCAGGGAAACAAAACTGGACAACTTATCAAGAACTATTTGAACTAAATATCTTCCAATTTGCAATGGTGAATATGGAAAAAACATGTTTTCTAACACAAGAGCATTTAAATTGTCAGCATAAGGATGCATTTCTGGTCCCCCAAATCTAGGGGTATTACTTATTTTTCTTGTTAGTTTAGTTTCTTTAAAGCATGGTGGTTTTGCTGATGTATCATTGTTGTCATGCATTTCTACCTCTCTCCTGCTTTTAGTTTTTTTGTATAATGATGTCACAATGACAGAGTGCATTTCTCCCAAAATATTTTCAAGTATATCATTTGATACATTGTTAATATGAGACTGGAATAATTTCTTCTGTGTTATAACTGACATTTTACTTTTAGACTTAGACACAACGTAAGGAATTTCATTAAATGGAGGCAAGTGGCCTATGATTTCCATTATGTTTTGACTCAACTTTTTCAAAACCTCTTCCACTGCACTGAATACTTTGCTGTTTTCTTTTGGCTTTGATTCTCCTTTTCTCATAAATATTTCTTCCAACATAACTCTTTGGCTTTCCTTTTCCAGTATCATTTGGCTTTCTTCCAATGGGGGATTTGATAATGTGCCAGTATTTTCCTTCTCTTTGAATCCCAGCAAAACTTCATTTGGTATAGTTAACTGTGAACAACTGGGATTCTCTGGTGAGGGTAAAAAAAATTCCTTCACAGATCCTTTATTGTGCAAAATCCTTAAGATACTAGTGACAATTTCACTCACAATGATATTTTTTTGAAATAAAATGCTGTTTGAATATGTGTGCATACTTTGTGTTTCTAAGTCTAAATCATTTTTAATAAGCTTCAAAATAGCACTGGCAATGAAGTCAGCATAGTCCTTAAGGGTAGTTTGTGATAAATGGATTGTGGTTTCAAGACTTTCTCCACAGCTGGAAAAAACGGGTTCCACAAGTTCATGGCTAGGGTCTGCTTCAGTTGTTGGTAATCTTAGGACATTCACACCAGATTCAACTTGGCCTGGTTCATGAAAAATGCTGTCATCGTGTTTACCATTTTCAAATTTGGGGCTAATAAATACGTTTTCCTTATTAGACTGCAAAGCAGGAGAAATTAATGAATTTATTCTTTCTGTGGCAAAAGACTGTAATCGATTAAAAATAGTTTCAGTAATGAAGTTGGCATTTTCCTCACATGGATCCTGTGTGAGTTCCCTGGTGTCTTCCTTTCTCTTCATGGGCATCTGGTAAACATCAGCATAAGCTAAACTCTTATCTTCTGAATGTGAAAAATGCCCCGGTTTTTCTTCAGTTCTCTGTGTTATAAAAAGAGACTGTTGGCACTGTGATTTTGGAAACATATCACAGAAGGCCAATCTTGTGGAAGCAGGATCCTTTGCATTTATAGCAAGCATGACCAAGGAAGTAAGGCTACGAAGCACGATATTCACTATGTCTTTCGACACCAAAATGACATCTGTTTTAGGAACTGACACTTTAGGAATAATATTTGTACCCCTAACAACTGGTTGGATATTTACTTCTGAGTGTGTGCCAGGGATACTATATTGCAGAGTGGGTGTGGCAAATGAGAGGTTATTCTGGTGTATAATGTTTTCATAAATATCACATAAGATCCCTTCAATGGTATCTTGAATTTGAAACTCAAGTATTTTTCGATAATCTGCCTTATTAACTAGCCTTTCAATAATACCATCTTGCTGATCTGAATAATTATCCTGGTCAGAACTGTTTTTGTCACACTTGCTTTTGCATGACACAATATCGAGCACTGTGTTAACAATCTGACTTGCAATATTCTCGGAAACCACAACATTATTTGTCAGGAGAGGACTTTCCTGTTCTTTATCTAACTCATATTTGATACCTTGTAAAATTTTCCTAGCCACTTCTTTTGCATAAATATTTAATCTGGACAAAGACAGTTGGCACCACGAGTCCATCTTTCCTGGGGTACCATGCTCCACCGAACTACAGGGAAATTGCTTATCAGAATAGGAGTCGTTGCCTGACAATGCTGTGCTTAGTGATCCCTCTTGCTGCTGTACTGGCAAAGTCACTGGAACTCTGAAGTTGATTTGGGGATGAAAGAGAGATTCTACTTTGGAAGCAGCAAAATTTTCTAAATTTTGTAATATTGCCTGCACAATATCTTCAACTACATTTATTTTGGTCTGTTTGTCAACATTCCAGCTAGACTGAATGTCACACGGATTTCCACTTAACATAGTGACAGGTCTGTTTCCTGTGTAGGTATGCTCACGAAAAGAAACATTGGTTGAAAAGATGATTGTTTCACATCTGTTTTCACTTACAGGTTTTTCTGTCATGGCAGCTGAAAAAAGTTTGTGAAATACGGTCCTAACCACATCATTTACCACTACAGTTACATCTGTGTCAGACACTAAAGGGCCCATCAACGGATCCCTAAATTGAGCAGATGTTTGAATAGTTGACACAGGAATATTATGAGGCCTACCAGTAAAATGAGAGTGTGAGAGAGAAACAACATTTAATTGATTGATTAAAGCACTTTGAAAAATTTCATTCAAAATATTTCTTATAATGGGAACAATTGGAGATTTGTGTGGTTCTTTGAGTTTTACTTCAATTTTGTTTAAGGTTCTTTCTAGGATCCACTGGTCAGTAGAAAAGGTGCTGGTTTCTTCTCTGGGTGATGTTCTATCTCCAATGAATTCCTTATTTTGTTTGTCATCACTATCTAGAAATGACTCTGGCTCAGCTCCTCCAGGAAGAAAATTTCCATAAATTGGTCGATATCCATAATTTTCAGTGCCTCTGTTCTCAGATTCAGGTTCAGTAAACATGTCTGAAGATACTACATCTAAAATTAAATCAACTATTTTTGTAAATATTTGTGTCTCCTGTGTTGAGCTTTTTATATTTTCCTTACAATCTGATGGGTCAATATTTAATTCTGTTTGAATGGCTTTCAAAATAGCACTTGATACCTTCTTTGCATGATTGTATAAAGTAGACTGCAATGATTTATCATGTGAATCTGTAGAATTTCTGCTTTCACATTCACAATCCATCATAGTCTCTTTTTTATTTTCATCATTAAGAACACTGACGTTTTCTTCATTTCCACCGGCAAATAGTTCCAGTTTAGCAAAAACCACGTTAAGAATATCTGAAGCAACAGCTTTCAGTTTATCTGGGCACATTTCTTCTGAGTTCTCAGTTTTGGAAGACACTGGGAGATCATTTTTTGCTTCATTTTTAGGAATCTCTTTTTTACCCATTACCATTTTGGAAATTGTGTTTGAGATCATGTAGGTGCATTTTGCCATTTCCTCCATAATTGAAGCAAATGATAGGTTGTCAATGTCAAGTGATTCTGAGGCAGTTTTCAATTCAGAATTTACAATGCTTTTATCTTGGTCAATATCACATAGTTTTGCAAGGACATAATCCAGAATTGTTTTAGAAATGAGTTGAACATTAGACAGTGCTAGAGGATCCTTATGTGACTTCTCTGTGTTTTGCTGACTGGAAGATGGCTGAGAATCATGATGGGCTTCCGGGAGTTTGCTAAGCATTTCATGGAGTGTTTCTCCAATTTGATCTAACACCTTCAGTTTGGGACTATCTTTCAAATCCTTTCTATTGAGGGTGCTGTGGCGAATACAAGGTGTAGCCATAAATTTTCGAAATGAGGTTTTATCCTGTTTACTTGACAAAATGTTTTGTTTATTAACATTGTCAGACCCGCATAATGTAGATAGTGTCTTATCTGTAGAGGTTGAAGTATTTGTTTGATCTTCATTTGTACATGATATCATTTCACAAATACATGTCAGTAATGGACTTTCCATAAACTCATCGACACTGCAGATATGGGAGTCTACTGCTTCATTGGGATCAGCAAACAAGCCTTTGCTTGCATGACACTTGATATGGTCTGTATCTCTAGTATTTGGGTTTATATTATTGAGTCCTAGTTCATTCTGTATAGCATGTAAGACGATGTTGACTATTTTCATTGTGTAAGTACTAAGTTGAGAATGTAATGATTTCTCTATCTGTGAAGGTTTGTTGCCTCTTTGTAATTTTGGACAAACAAATAACGTCAGACTTTTAAAAATTGTATTAATGATCTTATCAGTAATATCATTTACACGCTTAGGTTCACATTCTCCAGACCTTAACTGGGATGTCTTTTCAAGCTCTACATTGAGTGAAGATAAATATTTCATTTTCTTTTCACTGTCAAACCATACTTTGAATGGTGTTTTAGTTGGTATTTCTTTGGCTGTTTGTGGAGTATCTGAATGCTCTAAACAAGATTGATGAACTGATGAAATAGCGTTTTTAATGGTATGAGGAATGTACTTTGAGGCCTTGTGGAGTATATTTATCACAGAATCTGTTATTTCATGTGCAAATGCACAAATTTCTGACCTAGAGAACATCTGTTCCATCCATTCTTGATTTTGTAGTCCTTGAGATTTTTCTAAGATGAAATCAGAGGTCTCTTCACCAATTTTGTTTCCTGAGTAATGAGATGAATCAGAAGACATATCCTTGAACATTTCTGTTAAAATGTGTTTAACTATATTTTCTGAAGCCTTTTGTATTTCATGCTTTTGATCTTGGCTGAAAATTGAAGCATCATTAGTCAAGCAGTGCTTTGTCTTCACAATGTCTTCACCACTAAGAGATAACTTCAACCCTAATCCCCAGTCATGATGTCCAGCTTTGCTTTGAGAAGTTTCTGTTGGTTGTTTATTACTTCTTTTGCGTTCAAAACAAGTATCTCTCTTTGTAGCCGAATGGTTAGTAATCTGCTCTTGTGGTTTTGTTTTTTCACCACTGAAGGATGAATCAAGCACACTTTTCACGAGGTTATCTATTTCCTCATCATCGTCTTCAGAATATAGAACCATGCCTGGAACATTAACGGGGGGAAATGGTCTTTTAGTTCTAGGACCATTAAATGACCTACTGCCAGTGACTCTATACTTTTCTTCAGTATCAGGAAGATTCCTTACTCTAGGTTGTCTGTGTTTTTTAACACTTGCTTTTGCTGGCTCTGGGTGAAGCTGAGTTAAGACATCATCCAGTAGCTGAAGAAGTACTACTGTTTCTTCAGATGCAATAAGTCTCTCATTATTAAGTTCAGTTTGTACATAGCCTAGTATAGTGCTTATTGCTTCTTCTACATGACAAACTAGAGAGGACTGTGAAAAAATACTTGATATTAAGTTTTGCATTTCTTCTTTCATAATTAGATTAGCAGCATCAGATTCAGGACTAGATCTTTTTTGGTCAGGTTTTTTCTGTAATTTATGTGTTGGCTCTGTATTTATTTGTTGTTGGAAATGATTAGTCGTGTCTTCAGGAGGAAGTTCACTTTTCTTATAAGATGCAAGAGTCATCAACTTCTCTAAAATGGCATGTACCATATCATCAGCAATATCACACATTGGCTCCAAGGTATAAGACAGTGTATCCTCTGAAGGTTTTGTATCTAAGGATGACAAATAGTCACCACTAGTTGATAAACTTGGTTTAAGTTCAACTGCCAAATCTTCTTGTGAAAACATCTGCACACATTGTTTCTCAACAGCAGACTCCAGCTTCTCAAGCATATTTTCCACAATCTCTGAAGCTACTGAGCATATGTCAACATTTGAGAGCATCTCTTCTCTTTCTGTATCACATTGATCAACAAAAACTTCAGCAGTCACAGAAGACAGAGAAGGAATGGCCTGGCTTAAGTCAGACATTATTTCTTGAAAAATACTTTCTAAAATAAGTTGTGTTTCTCCTTTCAAGTGACATTTAAAGTTTACAAAAACATTCTTCAAATTTTTCATCTGATCCAAGGCCTTTGCTCTTTGATCAAATACCAATGGAATCTCTAAGGTGTCTGTTTCTGTGGTAGCATCTTTAGATATTTTAGTGCTCGTTTCTAATGATGTCATAAGGTGGCTATCAGATTTACTACTTCCTATCTTAGGAAATGGATATTCCAAGCTGGTTTCGTTGTAATTGACTTGTGAAGATATAGATTCCTCGCTCATATGATATGTTTTTTCAATAACTGTTCTTTCCACATGTGCAGAAGGAGGTTTCAAAGGTGTGGGTGGTTTCTTCACTGGCGTTTCACCAGCAAATATACATGGATCTGCTTGATATGTTTTAGGTGTGTAGCTTCTGTATGTAAAGCCCTCACTGCACGTACTACAGAAACTTGAACTATCAGAAGAAAGGTCTGAGTCATCAGACACTGGATAAGTATTACTCTGTACTCTTTCTTCATATTTTGTTATGGCTGGATACAATATGCTGGTTACTGTAGCTACAACCCAGGTCATTATATTTTGAATTATGCTATTTAGTTCTTCAGAAGTTATCTAGAAAGAAGATAATCAGATAAAAATAAAGTCATACAAATATTTATTCCATATTTGGGAGATATGGGGGTAGCATCCAATTTTATGTCAAACTATTATATAATAATGGTATATCATAATTGGAACATCACCATCGTTTATATTAAAATGAAGAAAGAATCTATTTAGAAATCTGGGCTATTTTAAGCTTGTTTATTTCATACTGGAGAGAAATGTTTTAAGCATTAAAATTTCATCTTACTTATATACCCTGAGAAACTATATAAATTATTTCCCAACATTCATAACTTGGGTAAATAACCTTAAAATTAAAGTTACCAAATTACTATTTAGTCACATCTGATAAAATGTTATGGGAAAAAAACCCAATGTGGTATTCTTAACTCTGTTATATATTTTGAAAACAGATAAAATTATTTCCAAGTATTTCTTCACACAGATATAGTAAAAGTATTTTAGAGTCTTCAGAAGCATTTGTATAGCTTCTATGAAGGTATTAATCTTCATATCTATTCCATGCCTTAGCAATAAGTGCACAGTCCTTTTATATAGAATACAAAAATTAGTGCATTTTAGACTTGCTTTGGAGCTAACATGACTTATGAGTACAAACTATCTAGGAAAGCAGAAGATAGATGAATGAAAATACAAGACATGATAGGAAGGCTGACAGATGTTTCCCACTCAAAGCATATCCATGCTAAACAGAAATTATTCATGTTTTAAGTTAATATTACAAAAAAGTTAAAATCTATGTAGCACACTCACAACTGATCTTAGGGAATACCCAATGAAAGGCCACTCAGTGCTAATCCCCCACTTATATATATAAGTGTATATATACACTTATATATAATAGTATAAGTGTTTTCCTACTATTATACATGATTGCTAGTGTTTCAATAAGCACAGATTAAGGTAGCTGAAATATAAAAATCTTGTTTACATAAATATAGCCTTAATTGAAAATTACAAAACTAAATCATAAATTTATAAATAGGTGATTATTCTAAATGAACAATACTGAAAGTATATATTAAAATGTGTCATATTTTCTTATACAAGCAATAATGGAAAGCAGAACCATACTGCTGTCCTTGAACTAGATAAAGGATAATGCTTTTCCAATTGTATTATGAAAAAGAGGGCAACTAAAGTTTTGCTTGTAGCAAAAGGTTGTTAAAAGAATTTTACTTTTTCAATATATTTCATTATAATTATAATATTCCTTCAAATGAAGCTTTGTGTGTGCTTCATGCCTTATTAACTGAGCAGGACTGAATCACTACTGTGATACTCCTCAAGGTCCCTGACTAGTCTGACTAGATTTAAGAGTTGAATGTTATTAAAATATGCTATTGTTTCTTCTCCTGCTTCAAGGCTCAGTGCACAGGTGAGCAAGTACCTTTACCTGTGAACTTTGGTAGCGGGTTCTTCCCAAGAGAATTGGTAAAGACAGATTCAGGCATCTTAACTCATTGTCTACAGAGTTTGCCATCAATATCTGCAAAGCTATACTGTTTAATATCTCCTGAGAAATGAGACTCCATTATCTCATGCTGTTCATCAATGCTAGGTCCCTGAATGATTCTCAATGCTACATCCTAGAGGCCTACACCCTAGAGGCCTTCCTAAAGTACCAAAATTATTTTTGATAAAAACTTTAGACTAGAAATAAACTATTAATATTATCTAAAAGTAAACTTCCATTACAATAAAAGGCAAAGGGTATGAACAACAAATATCAGTAGATGATTATTGGTATCTGATTTACATTTTTCCTAGAATGGAATATGATAATATACTGTCTTATAAGTTGATTTTATAATACATACTTTATCTTGCAAGCAATTTTGTAGATTTTGTTGCCTGTAAAGTTAAGAAATAGTTATGATTTAGTAAAGTCAGGACAAACACTTTATGAAAATACTTTAAATTCCTATTACTTATTGTTTCTTTTTATGAGAGATCTACATAAATACAAAATACCCTAGTCTTTATTTTGTTTTCTTCAATGTTCTTAATTAAGGTACTGCTAAGTTGTGGACCTGCAGACTCAAAAGTGTGTTTTATTTACTCAGGAGAGTAGAAGAAGAGAGAGGAAAGAAATGGGCTTGAAGAGAGAGGAAAGAAATGGGAGAGAGGAAGGGAAAGGAGGTAACAATAGTCCATAGACTAGAACTTTTCTCAGATCTAGTTTCTTAAATCAACTCCAAGTTCATAATTTTCCTTCTTTTAATTATGTATTGTTTTAGATTGTCTAAGCTTAGTTTTTTTCTGTCTTAAGGCACAGAATAGAATACTATGACAGTATACTATGAGTTCAAACAGGGAGCAAAGACCTATGAAAGACCTAAAGAAATAACTGCAAAGGCAGTATTCAGTAATAAGTATGCTAAGCTGCCAGTGTGGCTCAGTGAGTGGTACAATGCTTGCCTTGCATGAATGAGGCATTTTACTAAATGCCCAGCACCTTCCACAGAAGCAATTGTTTTATAAGGCAACCATAGAATAAAAAATAATGGAAGAGTAAAGACATCAAAAAATCCACTGACAAAAAAGTCAGAAACATAATTCTACAATTCCTAAATAAAGAAGGCTTGCACCATTTCAAAGATATTTATTTCAGAGAGATGTGAATATAATATAGGGAGTTTTAAATTAGCCTGTATAGCTTTCTTAAACTAGTCCATCATAATCACAGTGCATTAGTTCTGTAAATCTTAATATTTACCTAACATCTGGTACTGTTCCTTAAACACAATGTGTACTTAATAGATGCTTGATAAATAGGTTATAAAGATGTGCCTACCTATATCGAATTTCAAATGAAGAGCATTTTTGAATGGTTTCTTGACTTCAGTTTTACCCATGTATTGCTGACAAAGCAATTACTTATGTGCTAATTTGATCATAATATTATTGTCCTAAACTATTGGACTTTTACTTAATAAACATTACAGATTCTAAACCTAGTCTATATGGCAGAGGATTTCAAACTTAATTATCTAATGCTTCATTATTACAATTCTACCCTCACTGCTAACATAGTATATCTTAATTCTCTGTCATGAATTCTCATTTCTACATCAGCAATCTTTTGCATTTATACTTTGAAAAGAACAAATAAGGATTTGAGGGAGTCGAAAAGTGATTGACCTTGGAACAAATGTGGGGTCTCCATGGTAAAGTCTTTCATGATACCTCATTAAATTAGTGCATACAGTATAGAATGTTACAAAGTTCTTCATTTACAATTATTTACCCCATGAGTACAAGTAATTATTATCTCTACATGGCAGCATCTTTCATACTTGTTTTACTTGTTTGGATGCGATTCATTCCTTCTGGCTCTAAAAAGTGCTATGTATTCTATGAACATTCACTGAGTTCTACATATTGACACCCTTCAACCTCAAGATGAAAGTCTTCATCTACAAAGCTTAGTCTGAATATGAAATCATTTGTCATCAGAGATATTTTCTTTTATATAGCCATTTCCATAGGAATTTAGGGTTGTGAAGTTTAGTTTGCATTTCATTTGTTTTGTTGATTTCTTTTTAAGATTTTAGCACTGGGTTGCTGGGAAGACAGTCCTGTGTGTAAATGGGTTGCAGTGCATGAGAACTGGATTCAGATCCCAAGCGCATACATAAAAGCTGGGTCAGGTTCAGGGGGAGACTCTGCCTCATAAAAATAAAATTTTAAAAAGAAGATGAGGACAACCAGTGATGTTGACTTCTGACAACACACAGACACACACACACACACACACACACACACACACACACACACACACACACACACCACCCCACATAAACCTATTGTTTTAAAACAGTAGCTTTTTCTCTTCAAGTTGAAAAACTGCTAAAATATTTGCTCCTCAATTTTAGTTTGAGGAATGGAAAGCTTTGGTACTAAGCATCAGTTCTCTAATTTTCAACACTAGTATTACTATGTACAACACTAAATATTTTTAAGAAAAAAGTTGATCATAGTCATTGAAATGTTATAATGAACAATTTTATCAGCTTTTAGAGGCTCAGACTCTCAAAAGTCATAGGTAAATATTTCAAAGAGTATTTCAAAATTCATAGGTAAGCTTCTCAAATATACAAAGAAACCCTGGAGAAAGGAGCAAAGACCCTGGGTACAGAGAGTGAAGGACTGGATAGAAGGAAGGAGAATGGACTTCACTTTGACTATGATTCAAGGTCAGTTATAAAAGTTTTCAACAATAAAGTTTCAGTAAATTTAATAGAACTACAAAAAAATAGAAGATTTCCTGTAGTCATGTACTTAAACAGTTATCAAAATATGAATATACAATTCCATGTTAATAATTTGGATACTTACATATTTGAGTAAACAGGAGAAGAAAAAATACCCGGGGGAGGAGCACCACCCTGATATCCTAAGCACCAGGAAAAGAAAACTGTAATTTATATTTATCCTCAGTAACTTTTAAAATTACAATACTATTGTCAAATAACATGTTCTCATTTGTAACTGACTAGTTTACAAGCTTTTAAGGACATTTCAGACTATTTTCCAAAGTTCTTAACACGGAGTATAATATACTGTAAAATCTGAACTCCTTATCTACCTTTCTGAGATGCTTCTTGATGCTTAGTCTTTTGTATGTATTCTATGACCTACAGACATAGAGTAAAACTTAATATCCTACTGTAGCATGCTTTCTGACTCTGGACTATTGCTTGGACCATTTCTTTGGAGAACCTTGTATTTATACTTCTTATTTTTAAAGGTTTTGATGATTCTGCATTATGTCCTTTGAAATCATCCTTGAAACTTACCTAAACAAAGTGATACCCTTCCTTAGCATTTCCAAAACATGCTACATTGCTCATATTGTTAACAGTATTTTTTTGTGTACTTAAAAATTTTCAGGAGATATTATCTTCAGTGTTCTAACTATGTACACAAGCAAACATACATGTACAAGTATAACTGAGGTAAAGGATATGTAGACTGGCTTACTATATTTATCATTTATTTATAATATATATATATAATATTTGATACATCTCAGATTATTAAGCAGGTTATCCTGAATTCATAAAATTTTACTTGTAAAGTATGCCTCAAAATCTGGAAGACAGGAAAATACAAGCAACTAGACAAGTAATAAGGACATAAAAATATAAGCTCAAAATGTTAGGAAATTATTTCAATTTTGATTGTGTTCATTAGAAATACCTCATTAACAGCATGAGATTAAAAAATATAGAACTTTTGGAGGCTCAGGGAACACTGAGAAATAGAAGAAAGAAAAAATGTAGGAGCTACAAGAACAGGGAGTGTGCTTTCCCACTGTTTCTCCTAGAGATGTCAGAAACTACACCGATAAATTCTCATCAACATGACTGCCTTGACATAAGTGGGAACAAGGTTAAAATAATAGACCTTCTAATGCGGCAGGAGGACATCCAGGTGGCCTGAACCCTATACAAAGAACTATATAGGTAACTAGTGTTTACAGCAGGAGAAACAGTCTTCCTCGGTGATGGTATATCAATTGCTAAACCCTAAAAGCATGTTGTACTTAATTATATAGGAACATATATGTATATTTTAATTAGAGGAAGGAGAGGTATGTGACAGGTTTTGGAATAAGTAAATGATGTAATTATAGTATAATCTCAAAGATAAAAGAAATAATAAGAATCAGAAAACTCTCTTTTCTCATGACTCAAATAACATAGTCTTAGGTATTCTCTTCACACAGGATGTGGCTTTTAATCACACACACTTTATTGTATTTATAAACTTGGTTTGTGTGTTTGTCAAGACTACTCTTTCTGTTACAGAGTAAACGCTCTGAATAACAGTCCTGGCTACCTTTTTCTTCTGTGTTCAGTTCTCTGAACAAAACTCAACAGAGATCACTGCATTAATACATTAACTGGCAGAGAATTTGGAATGGTGTAATAAGTGGCAAGTGAAAGAATATTTTAATAACTGCATTATTTCCTGCTTATATTTACCTGGTTCACCAGCATAACTTGGTTTCTTATTTGGTCTTCCATTCCAATCACCTTGTATCTCCTTCTACATAAACAATGAGAGAGATTGATCCAAATTTTTATCACCAACTTATATTTATATGTTTACACTTAAAGATTAATATTGTTAAATTTCTCACAAATCTCCATTTGTAAGAAATAGTCATGGTTTGTGCTTATGTTATACATAATATTTATTCAATTAACATTAATATATTTCATAGAAATGTCTATAATAGTATAAACCACACATCTTGTGTGTAAATGGGTTGCAGTGCGTGAGAACTGGATTCAGATCCCAAGCACATACATAAAAGCTGTGTCAGGTTCAGGGGGAGACGCTGCCTCATAAAAATATAATTTTAAAGAGAAGGTGAGGAAGGTTCTGCATCCCTGCTATGGTATGTCTTTCTTACAAATACAGCATTTTCTGGTAATCCTAAATTAACTACATGAAGAAGGCAAAAAACTCAACTTAATTAGAAGTGCGGCAATTCAGTGGTACTGAAAAGGAGAACACATATATGCTCCATGAGTGATTGTGAGTTTCTACACTTTTCTTGATACTTAACCTACTTGCAGAAAAAAATTCATGACAATAAACATATTCATTTTTCAGTATTTGAAATGTGAAAGCAAGCATTAAGAAAAATGTCTGAAAATTTTAGGCTTTGAACAGTGTACTTGAGAACAATTAAATTTCTTGTCATAGATTTGGTATCTTTGAACATCTGCTATTTGGGAGTAATAAGGAAAGTGAGTAGAGCATGCAATACTCACTGAGGTCAAGAATACAGTTCACACATTCTATCTTTGTGTAGCAAGGCAAATTGTTTCCTTGTATTTTAATGTAAAAGTTATCTGGATGTAACAGTGATGTTCTCAGTTTTGTAGTCTGGAGTACTGCAATAATCAACCTAAACAGTGTATTGTCATGCCAATTTTTACTTACTATCCCACGAACAAACTTGACACATGCTTTTTGGCCTCTTGTTCCTTGTAATGCTTTGAAAATGTATAAAACAAAGATATGGGCTACATTGTGTTTTAGGAATTTTTTTGGTTTTTTGAGTCAGGGTTTGAATCAATTAATGTCATGCTAATATTGGAACTGAGGGTATTGATTTTATTCCTAAGATAATAGGTTGACAAATTATAGATAATATTTATTTCTTATGTAATGGCTATACCCTTGGATTCCCACTGATAAACTTCCATGAGCAGATACCTGACTACTGATGAAAAATGCTAAAACGGTGTCATTGGAAGCTCAACTGATTCCTCTGAGAGTTCCAAGTGCACAGTAAATATTACACCTTGTGGATTATATTTAGGCACCCTGACCCTGAGTTATTAACACCTTTACTATTTTATGATAAATTTCATGGAATGGAGGTATACCGGTAGTAAGGTTAAAGAAAGCCATATTCATATATTAAAATGACCTTAACATATGATTGAACTTAGAGCAAATTAAATGTTACATACCTCGTCTTTTTGAGGACCCAAGGATGCATGGGAAAGTCTAGCATTCCTTGTGGGTGAATTTTGGGTTGAAATAATTGAGTTTCGAGCTGATGTGTTTACAGTACCTGGAGAAATAAGAGATAGTTTTAAATAAGAACACACTGTAGAGGCAAAGATGAAGCATACATAACTTGCAGGCTTGCTCTGGCATTCTCCCCACTAAGGTGCAACACTGACTAGAAAAATTGCAATCAGCAAACTTCTCCAAGGATAACATCGTTGTGGATGTTTACTGTCTAAAATGTCACTTCTTCCCAATTGCTTCCCAAGAAAAATCTGAAATCCTTATTGTTTGATGACAGCAACAGCTTAATCTCACAAAGTAACAGGGCCCACTGACAAAATGGACTATTTTAATTGTTTTCAATCTTCAGTGACAACTTATTGTTGTACAAAGAAATAAACAAAGCTGTACTTTAAATTGATCTTAGGCAAAAGGCAAATAAGTGATAAAAAGCTGTTTTAAGATTTGTTTTCGACAGCAAGATTATAGTGAGCTAAAAAGAGGAAGAAGTGATTGGAGGAATGGTTCTTCAATAATAAAAAGTCAAACTAAGTATTCCTTTAAAATTAGGTAAAACAGCTTTCAAAACCATATAACGGGGTACACGTAAGTACTTAAGTGAATTGTTAGTACTGTTCATAATCTTACCTTTTTCATCACTGATTTTTTTCGTTACTCCATTTCTCTACATGATAAAATATTAAAGAGAAAAATGTAAGTAATAATATTTCAGTAAGAGATTTTACCTTGTATCAGAAAACCAAATGAATCCAGATTCTTTTCTACCCTTCATGCCTTAAGTTTGTCATAAAAATGTGTACCAGGTACAGTGAATATAATTAACTTCCCAGGATACCTTTTGCCATCTTGAATTTAGTTCAATATTGAGCTCAATTTATAGCAATGTAGATCTTACTCCTCTGCCAGCCTGTAGTCTTTCATTTAAAGACACAGGGAGACATTCAATGAATGGTGCTAAAACTTAAGTCATTCAACTGGATACAAAGAAATAAAATTCTATCAATTTAAATTCCATGAAACAGTATATAATGCTTATTTAAAATATTCTTTAGAATCAGAGCCAGAGTAAAAATTAGTTACTCCAGATTAGTGCAACATTTTCTACGTCTATGCCTGACTAGACAGTGTGTCCCTGAGATGGGTGTTACCTCACTCACTTTTGAATTCAATGGACTCAATTTGCATTCAATTTAATAAGAAAAATTGACTCAATTTTCTTATTTTCCCACGTTTCAGATTATCCCAGTTCTTGGTCAACAACACTAGCATAGATTTCCAACACTACCAGTAAATAGCAATGTTACCATCACTATTGTTAATGAGCTTTGGATTTTGTTTTGTTAAATTTCACAGTTCATGGATAATAACACTAAAGTGATTCTTCATTGTCCCAGAGTGGGATAACGTTTTCTTACAAGAACTCATTTGCCCTAATAATATAAGGTTAAGCAGAAGAGAGAACACATGTAAATAAATTCTTCACAGACATTAAAAGAACATCACTCGGCTTCATATGGGAAAACAAACAAACAAACAAAAAACAGAATAGCTAAAATATTCCTTGAAAATAAAGAAACTTCCAGAATCATCACCAACCCTGACTTCAAAGTCTACTATAGAGCTATGGTAATAAAAACACCTTAGTATTGACATAAAAACAAACACATGGACCAATGGAATCAAATAAAAGGCACTGACATTAATCCACACACCTATGAACACCTGATTTTTGACAAAGAAGCCAAAAATGTACAAGGGAAAAAGGAAAATCTCTTTAACAAATGGTGCTGGCACAACTTGATGTCAAAATGCAGAAAACTGCAGATACATCTAGATGTATCTCCATGGGCAAAACTCAAGATCAAGTGGATCAAGTACCTCAACATAAATCCAGTTACATTGAACCTGATAGAAGAGAAAGTGGCAAGTGCCTTGAATTGGCACAGGAGACCACTTCCTAAATATAACACCAGTAGCACAGACACTGAAAGCAACAATCAATAAATAGGACCTCCTGAAACTGAAAAGCTTATGTAAAGTAAAAGACTTGGTCAACAACACAAAACACCAGCCTACAGAATGGGAAAAGATAATCACCAACCTCACATCTGATACTGAATTGATCTCCAAAATTCATAAAAAACTTTAGAAACTAGGCATAAAAATACCAAATAATCCAATTTATAAAATGGCCTACAGATTTAAACAGAGAATTCTCAACAGAAGAAACTCAAACAGCTGAAAGGCATTTAAGGAGCTGTTCAACATCCTTCATCATCAGGGAAATGCAAATCAAAATGACTCTGAGACACCGTCTTACACCTGTCAGAATTGTTAAGATTCCAAATATTGAGAACAGCTAATGTTGGAGAGGATATGGAGTCAGGGAAACATTCCTCCAATGCTAGTTGAAGTACAAACCTGTACAGCCATTTTGGAAATCAGTATGGTTTTTTCTCAGAAAATTGGGAATCAATCTATCTCAAGTCGCAGAGATATTACCCTTGAACATATACTCAAAGGATACTCAATCATACCACAAGGACACTTGGTTCAATAATATTAATAGCAAGGGGATAGAAATTGGAAAGGAAGAAGTCAAACTTTCATTATTTGCAGATGATATGATAGTTCACATAAGTGACCTGAAAAACTCTACCAGAGAACTTCTACAGCTGATAAACACCTTCAGTAAAGTGTCAGGATAACTCAAAAATATCAGTAGCCCTACTATATACAGATGATAAATCCAATGAGAAAGAAATCAGGGAAACATCACCCTTCACAATATCCACATCAGCAAGGGAGCTCACGATAATGATAGAGAAATCTACAGAGACAGCTGATCCAAGCTCATGGAAACTCAAACACTCTGGATCAACAAAAAACAGAATCTTAAAATTCGCAGGCAAATGGATGGAACTAGAAGAAACCATTCTGAGTGAGGTAACCTAGTCATAAAAAGACAAACATGGTATGTACTCACTCATATATGGATTCTAGACATAGAGCAAAGGATTACCAGCCTACAACCCACATCACCAGAGAAGCTAAGAAACAAGGAGACTAAGAGAGACATACATTGTCGCCCGGAGAAGAGGAAAGGAACAAGATCTCCTGAGCAAATTAGGAGCATGGGGGAAGAGGAGAGGGAGCTAGGAGAATGAGAAGGGGAGAAGAGGAAGGATGCAGAGGACATGAGCGAGCAGAAAGGTTGAGTTGGTGGAAAAATAGAAGAGAGCAAGATAAAAGATACCATAACAGAGGGAGACATTATAGGTTTAAAGAGAAATCAGGCACTAGGGAAATGTCTAGAGATCTACAAAGATAACACCAAATAACAATCTAAGCAACAGAGGAGAGGCTACTTTAAATGCCCTCCCCTAATAATGGGATTGAAGACTTACTTATATCCCATCCTATAGCCTTCATCAAGCAGCTGGTGGAAGTAGAAGCAGACACCCACAGCTTAACACTGTACTGATCCATAATCCAGTTGCTAAGGGGTCCAGACCAGGCTGGTGAAATGCACAGAAACAGCTGACCTGAACAAGGGAGAGCTCTTGTTCCCCAGACTGATAGCTGGGAAACCAGCATGGGACTGATCCAGACCCCACAAATGTGGGTGTCAGTGAAGAGACCTCAGAAATCTATGGGGCCCCTTGTAGTAGATCAGTACTTATCCCTGTCATAGGAATGGCCTTTGTGAGCCCCTTCCTCAGGTATTCTCCCTGAGCCTAGACATGGGATGGGCCCATGTCCTATCCCAAAGAATATGACAGACTTTGAACAACCCCCCCTATGGAAGGCCTTGCCTTCCCTGGGGAGCAGAAAGGGTATGAGATAGGTACGGTGTTAGTTGGGTGGGGGCAAGAGAGGAAGGGAGGCAGAGGAAATTGGAACTGACATGTAAAACAATCTTGTTTCTAATTCAAATAAAAATATTAACAAAAACCCTAGCCATTGGGCCTCCATGGGACTTAACTGTCCTCTGTATATGGGAGACAGTTGCAAAGCTTGGACTATCTGAGGGGCCCCTCAAAATAGGACCAGGATCTAATCCCTGGGACATGGACTAGCTTGTTGGAACCCATTCCCTATGAAGGCCATACTCAGCCTTAACATTGGTGGTGGGGTTGGTCTTGCCCCAACTTAATGTGCCAGACATTGTCAACTCCCCATGGGAGCCCTTACCTTTTGGGAGGAATAGATTGAATAGTGGGGGAGGATGGGGGAATGAGAAGAGAACTTTGGTTGGAATGTAAAATGAGATTAAATATAATAAACTTAATAAGATGAAGCAATACTAACCACATAATTTGAAACATTTTTACCTTTTGTTCTGAACTACTGTTCTGTATGTCTGGCTGATAAGCAACTGAGGATACTGATATTTTTGTAACATTCTTTGAATTACTCTGAGACTGATTAACAGCAGTTGATACGTGTCCTAGGAGTAAATGAGAAAGATCATTTGGTTTTGAGCATGCTCTTGAGTGTAACAAATTGTATTTCCTTAAGCTAATTATTAACATTTTACATATTCATGAGAAACTATTTCCCAAAGAGTTTCATTGGGATTACTCATATAAGTGCTCCCCTTAAAGGTTGAAATCAATCTTTCTTTCTGTTCCCAAGAATATTGATCTGAAACTCTTAAGATTTGTTTGTTTTCTGAACTTTTACATTAATGCAATTATACAATGTATACACTTCTCCTTTGTTTTTATTTTGGGAGAAGTAAAATGATTTTTATGCAATACAATGTTGTTTGGATACACTTCACTTTGTAGTCTACCATCAGTTCACAGACATCTCAGTTGTTTTCAATTCCAGCCACTTCTTAAATGAACTTCTGTAAATTTTCATGGACAAACTATTTGTACATATACATATAACATATCAATATATATATACATATATATATGTGTGTGTGTGTGTGTGTGTGTGTGTGTGTGTGTGTGTGTGTGTCTATAAAACTATTGATCTGTCTCTGCATCTACTTCAGTTGAAGTGAATAAAGATATATCATAAAAACTCTCTAGGCCATTTCGTAAATATAATTTTAAGTTACTTCAAAAACTTTATCAAAGTGACCACCTTATTTTAATATTAATCATCAATGGATCATAATTTATTTTCCTTCACATATGCCTTTCAACACTTAATAAGCAGAGAAAATTATTCATTTAAAGACATAGGAAAAATTAATAAATTATACCAACAGGTGACTCTAAATTCAGTAAAAATGGAAAACAAGACTGACCAGGGAAAGGAAAGGACATGTGTCAACACAGCTGAGTCTAGAGATAATTACCAAATGATTAAGAAAGGTGTACAATCCAACATGTATGAAATGAAAACATATATAAAAACATTCTTGAAAACTCACATATCAACCCTGTTTATGCATAAGTAAAAATATGAATAAATTATTGTCTAATGAAAATGGGCTGAGAAAGAAATCAGAGAAACATTACCCTTTACAATAGCCAGAAACAACATAAAATATCTTTGGGTAACGCTCCCCAAATAAGTGAAAGACCTGTATATCAAGAACTTTGAGTCTTTAAAGAAAGAAATTAAAGGAGATACCAGAAAATGGAAAGATCTCCCATGCTCGTGGATAGGTATGATCAACATCTAGGATCTTGCCAAAAGCAATCTATAGATTCAATGCAATCCTCACCAAAATCCCAGCACAATTCTTCACAGACCTTGAAAGAACAATACTCAACTTGATATGGAGAAACAAGACAACCAGGAAAGCCAAATAAAGGAACGTCTGGAGGCATCACAATCCCTGATTTCAAGCTGTTCTATTACAGACCTATAATCCTGAAAACAGCTTGATATTGGCACAAACATAGACAGGTAGACCAATGGAATCAAATCGAAAACCCTGATATCAACCCACACACATACAAACACCTGATTTT